GGGTCAGATACGTACGACGCCCCCCATGGGACTCCTCTTCCTATGGGCTCCAGCAAGCAGACTTGTAGCAACGCCCTGCGGCTCCAGCACGCCGACCTTGAGCAACCTCGTAATTGAGTCGAAGGGAAAGCCCTTCCTCCGTGATCTCCCCGCCGGGAGGGGGGAGAGGGGGTTGTCACCCCCCCCCCCGGGGTCAGATACGACGCCCCCCCCTGGGGAATCCTCTTCCCCTGGCTCCAGCCAAGCAGCGAAGTTGAGCACCGTAGTAATTGAGTCGAAGGGAAGCCCCTTCCCTTTGACCCTCCCCCGACGGGAGGGGGTGATGGTGGGGGGGGGGGGGGGTCGGCCCCCCCCAGGGTTCAGATACGACGCCCCCCCCTGGGACTCCTCTTCCCCTGGGCTCCAGCCAAGCCGACCTTGAGCAACCTCGTAATTGAGTCGAAGGGAAGCCCCTTCCCTTTGATCCCTCCCCCGCCGGGAGGGGGGAGGGGGGTGTCGACCCCCCCCCCCGGGTCAGATACGACGCCACCCCATGGGACTCCCTTCCCCGGGGCTCCAGCAAAGCCGACTTGAGCAACCCTCGTAATTGAGTCGAAGGGAAGCTCCTTCCGTTGATCCCTCCACCGCCGGGAGGGGGGGGGGGGTCGACCCCCCCCGGGTCAGATACGACGCCCCCCCATGGGACTCCTCTTCCCCTGGGCTCCAGCCAAGCCGACCTTGAGCAACCTCGTAATTGAGTCGAAGGGAAGCCCCTTCCCTTTCCGCCGACCCTGTCGGCGTGTGTGAGGGGCTTTTCCGTTCGAGCCGTCATCTCCGGTGGTCGAACCCCCCCCCCGGGTCAGATACGACTCCCCCCCCCGGTACTCCTCTTACCCCTGGCTCCAGCCAAGCCGACCTTGAGCATACCTCGTAATTGATCGAAGGGAAGCCCCATCCCTTGTGATCCCTCCCCCGCCTGGGAGGGGGGGGGGGAGTAGCGCCCCCCCCCCCGGGTCAGACAGACGCCCCCCCCTGGGACTCCTCTTCCCCTGGGCTCCAGCCAAGCCGACCTTGAGCAACCTCGTAATCTCTTGCTGCGCATTGCGAACAGGGTCGGCGGCACCGGCCGTCAGGCCTTCGCAATAGACTGTCACGCAACGCCAGCTCCCAGAGCACGACATGCTGTGACGGCTCGCCCACTGTGTATTGATAGCAGAGGCGCGAGCGCCACAGTAAGGGAAACACGTCATTCGATAGCTTTTCCCTGCGTCCCAGAATAGTCATCTGCATTCTAGACCTCCAATGCATCGGCTACATCATCAGCCTGGACCTCCGCCTCGAAAACTGATATGGTGTTCACGGGGAGGGGGGGTGAGTGAGAGAGGGAGGGATAGAGGGGAGGGATACCATAGGGAGGCGGAGCAGGAACACAGCAACAAGAGGGAAGGAAGAGCAAGGACGTTAGTCGGTACTAGAGAAAGATACTGGACACTTCTGCAACAAAAAGACACTCTGTCCTCTAAACACCTTCGCGCAAGGCACGCTTAATGAGAGGAACATGTCGCAGGATGGAGGAGGACAGAGGACGAGGATGAGAAGTGAGGAGATGACGGGCATGAGGACGAAGAGGGAATGTTTGAAGCCGAGAAGGAGAAAAAACGAAAGGTGACAGACGAAGAATGCGGGATGGAGGAGGAGGGGGACGAGGAGGAGGAGGAGGAGGAGGAGGAGGAGGAGGAGAACGACACTACGAGCCCAGCTCAGATTATGACGAACGTTAAAAGGACGATTAGAGGACGATTAACAACCAAACTACAAATCTCACCGATGAGCAGCTGGCGATTGACAGGGAGCTTCCCCTGTCGGCGCTCTGTGCGCCTAGAAGGGCTGACGTGCACATTGACACGGCCCGCACCAAGGGGCAAGGAACGGGGGTCTTCAGCCCACCGCAGCCAGCACGCTGGGCCAACACGCTTGCCACCTACATTCCGTTTTCCGAGCTGCGTCCGCCCCGTAGGGCTCAGATCACGACACCATCGTGCCGCCCCAAGCCACCCGAGGGGGCGCCACTCCCAACGGGCGACTCCGCACCCCCACGCACGCCAGGGCGGGGCACCCTGGCCGTGGGAGGGACGGGTGCGGGGTCCACCAATGAGCCCCCCGCAGACGAACGTTAAGAGGAGGAGGAGGAGGAGCAGAATGAGGAGGAAGAGGAGACGGAGGAGGGAAAGGCGACGAGCAAACGGGCTCGGCAACCGCGCACGGGCAAGGGAGAAAAGAGAGAGAGAGAGAGAGAGAGAGAAAGAGAGAAACAAAAGAAGACAGAAAGAGAGAGAGAGAGAGAGACAAAAAAAGAAAGAGGGAACGAGAGAGAGAAACACATAAAGAGAGAAACAAAGCAAGAGAGAGAGAGAGAGAGAGCGAGATTGCAGAGCGGCGCGCAGCAGAGTCTGCGGCTCGGCCACCATCTCCCTGGAGTCGCGCCGCTGGCTCCACTCCGCCGCCACCGCCTGCCGTCGGCAGTGGACGAGAGGGGAAGGCTCTATCCCCCCTGCGATGTCCTCCAACCTCCTCCGCCTAATGCTCCTCCTCCTCCTCGTCCCCCTCCTCCTCCTCCTCCTCCTCCCCCTCCTACTCCTCCTCCTCCTCCTCCTCCTCCTCCTCCTCCTCTCCTCCTCCTCCTCCTCCTCCTCCCCTCCTCCTCCTCCTCCTCCTCCCGCCTCCTCTCCTCCTCCTCCCTCCCCCTCCCCCTCCGCCTCTCCTCCTCCTCCTCCTCCTCTCCTCCTCCTCCTCCTCCTCCTCCTCCTCCTCCTCCTCTTCCTCCTCCTCCCTATTCAGTACCCGCTGCGACTGCTATGGCTGCTTCGTGAATCGTATGGGCAGCCCCGAGTAGTCACATCATATGGATGCTGGAGCATACCCACACGTGCGCAACAAAGGGTATTGGCTGGGTGCACGCGCGCTACCACATTGCTTACCAGACTTACGTATCGGGCCATAGCACGTGTGCACGGCAAGCATCAGGACGTCATGCCCCGCACGCTCATAGACGACAGCGCGTTTCAATGGACTGCCCCCCACATCAGTGACGCCGCCAACATGCATGTAGCGGCGCACGTGTTGGCGCAACATGTCAGGAAACTTGGCACGACCATCAAACCAGAGAAGTCTGGACGGCTCGCCAACACCAGGAAAGCGACATATGGGACTCAAAAGCAAGGCCGATCGACGCCGGCTCGCTGCGAGCGCGAGAAAATGTGCTCGAGATCTCGAACACGATATGCCAAGAGTTCGCACGGTTCGCAAACAAGCAATCCCTCGGATGTCGAAGCTTCGAAATCGGTTGCCAAAATTACACATTGAAGGGGCCCTGGGACACACAAATCAATAGACACAAATACCAGGATTCCCCCATATTTTCAAATATGTTCTGGGTGTTTGTCTTCCCCCCCACTTCCCCTAGTTTCCCATCCTTTCTGGCGGATCGACGATTAATTGTGTCTATGTGTTTCCCCCCCTGAATTACGCAGGACATATGCTGCTCCGTGGAGCGGGAACGACGGTCGCCGCCTTATGGCGCACCGACGTGCTCCCATCAGTCGGCGGCGGAGTGGCCGTGACTGGTGCGTCTCCCACAAGAGCTCGCCAGCACAAGGCAGTTTCCAGGAGGGAACAAACACACAGGCACAATGAATCGTCGATCCCCCAGGAAGTAT